TATTCCCCAAGCAAAGTATCTCCTTGGTGACACTGGTTTCCCATTGTCAGAAGGAGTCCTTGTACCTTACCACCGCACATGCTATCACCTGGCAGAGTGGCAACAAGCATCATTAAGGTATGCATTTACTGCATGATTGATATCCATTTACTTCCCATTCTACAGGCCTGCAAACAAAGAAGAGCTTTTCAATTTGCATCACTCATCTACACAGAATGTTGTTGAACAAATCTTTGGTGTCACAAGCATCATTTCCGAATTCTTCTTCTCCCTCCAGAATATCCTATCGAGATCCAGGCACTCATTCCTGTCGCCCTATGCATTATCCACAATTTAATTATGTCACACGAATGGGATCCAGATGCTGATGGAGAAATGCTGGAGGGGGATAGTGGAGGTGATGGGGGTACTGGGGAAGTTGGTGACATTGAGCAAGAAGAAAGTGCACTATCAGGGGATGATGAGGGAGATGATGACCCTCAAGAATTATCAGCCAGGGCATTGTGCGATTCTATTGCTGAGGCAATGTGGCACGACTACCAGGAGTATCTGCAGAAGTGAGGGCAAACTTGATTGTAGAGATTGTTTTATGTACACTTTTCTCACTTTCTAAATGAATATCTCTGGATCATTCTTTGCATAACAAAACACCAGGTCAGATAAATTGTGAGCAGGGATACAAACATGATGGAGGTACTACAACACAAGGTCATCTGGAATGAGTTTCTGGTTATGAAGACAAGTCTGAATCCAGTTTCTACGAAGGGCTTTATCATCCAACATGAGGTATAAATTGATCACCCCCCCATCCATATGGAACGCTTCCATCAGGGCCATCTTAGCTAACAGGGGAAGGTTGTCATCTCGCCATGCAAGCATCTCCATGGTAGCATGCATATGCTCAGTATGCCTTTGCTGTGCGGCAACTGCAGACAACAAACTGATAACAGACCCAAGGTATGAAAGGGAACCCTGTACACCAACAAGTAAAGTGGGCATGGACATTTCTTTGCTCTTCTTTGACTTCTTTGAAGAGTGTTCTGCATCGTCCTTGATAGAGAACGACTGGAGCACAGCTTGTGCTGATGGAATTTCAGCAGAGGGTGAAGCAGGGTTGGCATCTGCATGTGTGTGCTTCCTACTTGATGGCATAGAGCTGGTAGTTGAGGGGGGATATGAGCTAAGTAACATTGTAGGGGAAGCAAGAGTCAGCATGGGTGGATTAAATTGTGTTGAAAATAGCTGGGACTGCACATTCATTCTGTTAGCAGGAGCTACCTTGTTGACAGACATTTGATCGATTGCATCATCTTCAATGATGCCAGCAGAGCTTCCAACCTGAGGAGTAATGAACTGTAAAGTGGCAGAGGACATGGATGGGGTCATCACTGGATCACTGGAGGTATGGCTAGATGGGTTTACAGAGAGGCCAGGACCACTGGCACCAGATACGAATGCCGCAGAAGTCATAGGATGGTAGGCGTGCATACCATGGGCTTGGTCATTTGGAAACAGTGACTCCATCACTGTAAGCAGGGGCCAACTGACATTTTTAAACTGGCGCATAGCATTCCCAGGTCAGCCCTGTCGATGGATGTTATCGATGTCAAATGATGGACACAAGATGATGGACACATACCGCTAACCACTCCTTGAAGTCGCTTTCCTCACTCTCAGAGATAATATTCATCCCATTTTCATTATCCCAATGCTTTCCAGAACAACCTCACCATAAGTTGATATCCCTCAGTATGGATTTGAGCTGTACCAATAATGATCAATGAGGCTACACAGGCACTGGGGAGGGAACAAGATACTCACATTACTGAGCTTCCCTCTGCACATATCAGAGGTCTTCATTGCACCTTTTTGTTTTGGGAATTTCTTGTTTATGTGGGCAGTGGCCGCACTCCAAGTGGCAGACTTGAACGACCCATCACCCATCTTGCCAGCGATTTTCTCATCGACAAGGAAAGTGACAAGGGCCTCTTTCTCTTCCTCAGTCCAGTTGGATCGATCCTTATCAGAGGGCATATCTTCAGTCACTAGCTCGAGGCAAGACTCACCAACGAGCGTCACTAGTGCTGCAATAATCAGTAGGAGGGGTTCCAGGGGTTCACTATCCATCATTGTCAGAGCAGTTCAAAATACAAACTCCACAGCATGGCAGAGTGGTGGCTTGCCAGGATCACAAACAAAGTAAAATACCAAAGCCAGCAAGCAACTGTGTAGCGAGACTATGTGAACATACCATACGGACTCTGAAGGGCCCATCCATATGTTGTGACTCTATTAAATGATATTAGTGATGGGCCCAGCTTTATGTTTCAACAGGGTACATCTTGCTGGGGCTGGGCCCACCCATATGTTGTGATGCTATGCATGAGATTACTGACAGGCCTGTCTTTATGTTTTGACAGGGTACATCTTACTGGGGCTGGGCCCACCCATATGTTGTGACAATATAAGTAATACTACTGAAGGGCCCACCCACATGTTGTGATGCTATACATGAGATTACTGATGGGCCTGTCTTTATGTCTCATCAGAGGTACATCTTACTGTGGATGGGCCCATCCATATGTTGCATAATACTACCGACGGGCCCAACCTTATGTTGTGACTCTACTAAATGATACTAGTGATGGGCCCATCTTTATGTTTCAACAGTGGTACATCTTACTGTCAACAGGCCTGTCTATATGTTGTGACATTATGAAATGACATTACTGACAGGCCTGTCTTTATGTTGTGACAGGGGTACAGCTTGTTATGAATGGGCCTGTCTAGATGTTGCAACACCATAAATGATATTACTCCCAGGCCCATCCATATGTTGCCAGCTTTGTATCCTAATCATAGATGGGCCCATCCTTATGTTGTGACCCTCTCCATGTTATGATAGGCAGGCCCACCTTGATGTTGCAACAGGGGGGTAACCTACCAGGATGGGCCCATCCATGTCTTACAGCAACTCAGTATACTTAATTGGTCATGGGCCTGTCTAAATGTTTCAACATCCTTACTCACCATGGGCCCTCCCATATGTTGTGGTATTGCACTTACAGGCCCATACATGTGGTGCTCTCACTTTAGTCCCTTGGGCCTGTCCATGTGTACTGGCTAATCTATTTAGGTGGGCCCATCTCAGGGTCTATATGAGTGTTGGTGTTTTGGTGCACAGGCTGCCCATGTGTTGTGACTAAATGTGACTACACTATGTGTGTGGTAATGTAAAGCTCCAGATGCTTTGGATGCTTGGGAGAGGACATTGTACTGCTGGTCACTGAGACCAATGGCAAGTGTTCCATTGATTTGAATGGATACACTTTCCACGTGTATTGGGCATGTTGCATGAAAGCTCCACACACACTTTCTGACGGTCTGATGTGATTTGATCAGCCTGCCTGTCCTCTTCAGTTTCAACTTGACCTGAGGGTCATTAGTACATTCTTTGTCCCGGATAGTTGTGTGGATCACTGCTTGATTTTAGGACCCGTTGCAGAGCAGTATTGATGATGTCGTCCAGAGGAACAAATGTCCTATGTATCAGGAAGCTGGCAGAACCCATGAAGTTACAATAGCAGACTTCGCAGCTCCACATCCATGTAATCATGAAAGGATGCACAAAAGTTCCTTGCATCAACTGACTTTACATCACTTATCTGTATTTGTTGGAAAGCAAGATGAAGCCCAGATAATCCACATCTCATCTTCCCCCTCGTCTGTTTATTGCACAGCACCATATGTAACAAGAGTGTGCAACAGACAACAGCCCAAAATTCTGGAAGGAAGAACTGAACTAGCAACCCTTGTTCGATCGTCAGTGTGCTCCAACTGCTTCAAGCATAGTCAGACCTAGTCTTCCAGCTTGAAATTTGACCTAGAATTACTAACGAGGATATTTGCATTGCGAGTTTTCGACATTATCAGAAGCCCTCAATAAGAATCGGTACATCAATGACACTTACGTTCTCCTCGCATCCGGCACCCAAGTATATTCCACAGGATCACACATGTTGTAACGATCCTGCAGGTGAGAATGCTGGAACCAGTAACAGGGATATAAGAAGTGCTCAGGAGGGCGGAGACCATCGATTTACCAGTTGCTATACCGCCCGTGAGATGAAAGACCAACACGAAGGATAACAGTGGATCAATAGTACTTACATATTGATAATGGACACTGAGCATCGATGCTGGTAGTATCCTTGGAACTTTCATTTTGTTAACGTACACACACGTGCAACTCGATCACTCCAACCTCCACTGGTACTCGAAGCATCTCTCAAAAGCCCAGCAGTTTCGAGTCAGACACGATGTTATATCTGCATTAGTATATCAGTTTATGATACAGTCAGTGTATGGGTAGCAGCATCTGTTCGACAGGATGAGCAACACTGTGGATGGTGTTGCAAACACTGTACGTAGAGGATATTTGAATTGGAGAACGTACGAGTTCCGCGATCGTGTAAGTGCCCAGAACATGTGGGTCATATCCAGCGTCATCGACCAGGGAAACACTCACCTTTTCTGGTCTACATAGAACTGTGGATGGCGCAGTGCACCCAGTTGACACTGCGCACTACCTCCATCACTGGTATTGCGGTCAGATGATAAATCAGATGCTAAGAAGCAGGTAAATGTACATTGAACTGAGGGCCTGTGTTAGGTGTCGACCGCAGAGCACAACAGAGGATTGCATATATACGGGATCTCCGACTTCGAACAACTTGACTACTTACCGGTGAAGCTCCGCTCTCCTTGCATTCCACCACCCAAGTCATTTCTCTCATGTCCGATAGCACCGTTTCAAATAATACTAGCTACTCAAAGCCCTTGGAATTTTATACTCACACAGTCACCTTCCTCGTATGTCTCATTTCTGCCTTCTGTTCTTGTCTTCCAAAACACCCCTCTGTTAGGTGGAGGATTGTCTATTCCGGACTCCCAGGGAGCTGTTAGAGGCTGAGTCTACTGTCTTCAGGGACACGTTTCTACTCCCCTAAGGTGAATCAAAGAGAGTTTATGGTCAGAGTCCCATGGTCCTGCAGGGCATTTCCAAGAAGGAATTTGAAAGCTTACTACGGGCCCTCATGTACAAGTCATTGTGCATGCCAAGTCTCCATCTGCATTTGACACTTGCTCCTTTGCATGCAGACGACATGGAACAAACAAGGGCTCGTATTTGGACTACGACCAATGGATGTCAGTCCTCAAGTTATCGACGACGTGGGAGTTCACTGGGTTGCATAACACCGCCATTGAATACTTGGATTGTCCTCTCCGGCCTCTTGACCCCATAACCAAAGTGGAATTGGCTTTACAATACAATATCCAAGAGTGGTTACTCTTGGCTCTGCTGGTGCTCGTGCGAAGATCCGCTCCGATCAGCATAGAGGAAGGGCATCGTATTGGTTTCGAAAACGCACTGAAGTTGGCTTCGGTGAGGGAGAAACTTCGGCTGGAGACGGCCGTGGAAGAATTCCCATACATCTACCACGACGGTGGCTCAACTCGGCATGCCATTCATCAATGCAACATTGGATACGTTGCCCTCGGTGATAGGGACGAAGACGCTGAAAACCTTGACTACACTCCATTTATACGCAAAGTTTTCGGTCTATAGTCAGTTGGATATGACTACTAGCTATGTGGTGTGGATGTACATATGTGACACGGTCTCTCGTCTATATTTCTACTTCCAGTTCACAGTACTGAATTCCAGGGGTCCAGCTAGCCTCCCTCACTTAGCTGTGTCTATTTAGGTACAAGAATATGCTGAGAATGGCAAGGAGACACGTTCCATTGCCCGCAAGTGTGATCTAGTATGGATGCAGCTGCGAAGTGAACTGTCAAGTTGGTCAACTGTAGCCCCAGGCCAAACCACAGTCTCGCCGGTAGACGATCCTATACAGGACCAGTGTGTCGTTGTCCTTTCCAACAACATTGACAGGTTGTCTTACAATGGTATGCCATGACTGGAGATGACATATACCGAAGAGACAATGAAGGGGACGTGGTGTATGGGAAAACCAATTCACGGAGCACTCTTCACGGTTTGTCACAAAAAAGTTAAGCACCATAACAATCCCGGTGGCTTGTCATGTGACTGAGATGCCTAATTCAATGGTATACCAATGGCAATGTAATGATGTCTTAGACTGACTTATTATGTTAATGCCAAAACAATACTCCATTAGGTATTAGAATGTGCACCTTAAGCCCAACAAATCATTGCAAGTGCATATCACGTGATTGCTATCAATTAGATTCAACCATCAATTACATAATATTACTGGTTGTGACACTGAGACCGCATTCTCTTCACCTGTGTCCTCTCCACCATGCCGCCCCATCGAAACTACCAGTGATCAAAAGAATCTTCTACTAAGCAACCTTGCAGGTACTGTGGGAACCTCTACCTGCTGCAAGGGATCAAAAGGCATGAAGGAAGCTGTGTGAAGGAGCTCCAGAACCATGAAGAACGGGTCAAACACAATAAGGCATACATACGGGATGTTCGTCAGGGTGAGGTGATTGTTTTTATGAAATCCTCTCAACTGCCCGTTAGCTTACAATGGTTGCCTACTAGCCAATATTGCTAAGGAAGCAGCCACTGCGACATCCTCATCATCAGTGCACCCTCATGTTGCTGGGTCTTCAGGTCCTGACTCCGCCATAGCTACAATACCAGTACCACTCGGACAGCCATCAGTAACAGTAGGCCCTTCACAATTTATTCCTGGTATGTAAACCACTAGTATGGCTCTTTCCGACGCTTACATGTTACTGGACAGGATCACTGACTAGTTTTGTTCCCAATGAAGATGATGTGTTGATGGGCATGGCAGACCCTTGTGGTAGAGGTATGTCAGACTCAGGTAGGTTCAGAGCGTATGTGTCATCAGCTGGCATTTGAACTAATCTTTTGTTGCCTATCTGATGTGTCAATAACAGCCCATGTGATGGGTCGCTTGGTGAACTCCGCTGCACCAGATGCCGCAAATGACCATCCTCCCAACTTCAAGACTGAATTTCATCCCCATAGTAAGCGCCTGACCCTTTTCCAATTCGCTGGAGAGTTTGGCCAGCAAAACCTCAAATGCATGCCCCCAGACTGTGAGCCCTGGCGCCCTTTTGCCTCAGAGGGTGATTACATCTTTGCCTCGATCGCTGTGGAAGCTGGGCTCAGCTCAAATCAAGTTGACTCCCTTCTCAAGTTGGTTCACTGTATAAGTCAAGGAACTGCAAGTGTCATGCTACACAAGGATGCTGGGCTATGTACTGCTTTGGATAGAGTGGCGGCACAGTTAACACTGGTAAACTCTTTGTTACTGGCATGCTTTTGATGTTTGGCTCACTTCCCAGTCATTTGTTAGTTCTCCAAGTTCGAAATTACCATGCCCTATAAGGGCAATGACGTGACATTCCCCATCCATATCTGCCCTCTGGGGGACTGGGCCCTCGACCTCTTGCAAAATTCCTCCCTTGTACCACACTTCGTCTGGGATGCCCAATGGCTCTTCAAACATGATGGTGAGAGATATGAGCGCTTCTACACAGAACCTTGGACAGGCAATCATTGGTGGGATATTCAAGTACGTTGTAATTAATGTTATCTCATACCACCATGCTTTGTAAATTTACTATCCACTTTTTCATGTTGTGCCAATAAAGTCATGGTTACCCAGTCATGTGGATAACGCAGTCCCATTCACATTTATAATTTATGCTGACAAGCTGCAGCTATTGTCCCATGGTACTGTCAAGGGCTACCCTGTCATAGCACATTGTGTGAACCTCCCAGTTCATGTTCGCAATGGTGAGCAATATGGCGGTGGCTGCATCGTTGGCTGGCTTCCAATTGTGAGTACCATGCCTTCATTTTTGAGCAATAGCGAATAGATCTAACAGGTTTTACAGGTTCCTGAGCTTGCAAAAGAAGAGGGAAAGACTGGCTACACAAACTTCAAACGTGTCATCTGGCATACAGCATTTTTTCAGCTCCTCGAGAAGGTTGTGGAGCTCTCAAAGGTCGGTTATCTTCATGAATGCTACAACAAGGTTCTCTGCTGGCTCTTCCCACTTGTCCTTATCCTGTCTGCCAACTATGAAGAACTGTAGGTACTAACTTCTCTGTGACCCAATCGTACTTACCAGGCCTCCCTAGCTGTGTGATGACCCTTATACAAGGCACAAAGTCCAAGTGCCCTTTCCTGTTTTGTCTGGTCCCCTTGGAGCAGCTTTGGGATCTGAAGAAGACATATGAAATGTGTACTACTGAGCAACACAAAAGAGCACTGGCATTATTCGAGGAGAAGAAGATGGTTGGTGAGAAGAAACTGAAGTCCCTCGGGTTACATCCTGTCAAGGTAGGTCTTTGACACATGTACTATGTTTACGACTGACGGAATGTATGATAGAATGCTTTTTGGTCAGTAGAACATTCAGAGCCTGAACAGGCTGCCAGTTTTGAGCCACTTCACTCCCTGCATGGTGGCATGGGAGGCAAGCACATCCATGGGGAACTCAGGATTGTCATCAGTGAGCTTGGCTGTGATTCCAAGACACGTTTAGAAGCACAGTAAGAATCTACTTAGTCTGTGGAATGGGCTGACTGTCGCACAGAGTTTCTGCCTTTCCCCATTGGCAAAGCCTCACACATTTCGATACAGTGATTCACATCACATTTTCTGATGGAAATAACATGCAAGATCTCACCAGGGTAAGTCAATTAGGACATGTTTAAATGTAGTTCGACGGCTAACAATCTCTCTGGTATAGCAATGTTTCTATGCCTCCCTCAACATTTTGATGCTGATGATGTCTCGAGTTGGGTATCAGTTACTTTGTATGATCAGTAGCTACCTGTGACTCGATACCCTCATTGGACTTGATGTGCACACCGAGAAGACTCTTGGTATGATCGAAGATGAACTTCTCATCTTCAGGGATGAACTAAAGGTATTCTGTTTGTCCAATGGTCTATTATCATGTAATGATTTTCTATAACAGTTGTACCGATCCTTTGTTCGTCATTTGGATGATACGGATCTGAAGGATCATTGGAACTTTCCAAAGGTGCATCTCTGGAAGCACATTACCTGTGACATTCGAAGCAAAGGCATTGTTCGTAACTACAGTGCCTGGCCCAATGAGAAAATGCATGGCCCGCTCAAAGACGCATACCAGGATTGCTCAAATGGAAAGGATACTGCGGGGCAGGTACGATTTAAGTTCCTCTCACTTAGGCATTGTCTCATGATTCATCACTCAGATTCTCCATGTTGACCACCACCAACTTGCAACCAAACTCATTCAGGCATGCATCGATGCAGAAAACGAGTGTGTTAACGATGCTACCAATGACGACGAGGACCACAACACAGTACTCGAAGGGAATGCCAAGCTTGGCGCACCCCAGCAGACTCACTCACTCTCTGATGTTGAGAACACTAACCAAAACGACCGGGCATTTGATGGATTCCATTGGAAGCTAGAAACTTTCCTCAACACTTGCCTCCCGACTTATGGGTTCCCCCTCGACAAGTGGATACAATTACAAGCAACACATACAGTACGTCCTCTTCCCTTTATATACAGACTTATCCACATTCCTCCGAAGATCCAGGAGTATCGATATTTGAAGGTCCAGTATGCTTCAATGGTGGACTGGGAGGTCACCATGAACTACCTCTGATGTAATCCAAGTTTCCATGGTCAGCCATGATATGATGGCGCCCTCATTCAGCTTTCAGAGACCAAGACCACTTTTGTTTGACTCATGTTCATGTGCACTTGTAAGGTTGCAGTGTTTGAAGACACTTTTCAGTTTGCCCTTGTTCAGCCGCTCACTGCCGGGACTGGAGTGCACAGGTTGGACCAAGATCTTCGACTTGTTTGAGTCAAAGCTGTATCTCGTGCAGCATCAATATTCATTCCTGTGAAGTTGATCATTTGAGGTGCATTGCTTTACCCGGATCCGAGCCACCATGCTGAGTTTTTAGTTGTTGAACACACTGATGGAGACATGTTCCTTCACATGAGGGAATGGATTCAGACCCAGCCCCAAGCATGGTTGCCAACTGAACAGCCTTCAAGTTCTGACTCTGATCAAATGCCGGCTGAAATACAAAGCAATCCTTCAGGTAAGTGATCCTCATTGTCATGCATTACTTCATTGAAACTGATGTAATTCTATACTATCATAGGGTCAGAGCAATTAGACGATCTTGGAGGGTTAGTCTCAGAATGAACATGGTCGGTTTGCACTATACATTTCCGTGTTCACCATGCTATTACCTCTTATCGCATCATTATTTTTCTATTACTGCTGATAAGGTTGCCAGGGAGTGACTGCATGGCATTGCAGTGATGGAAGAGTCAATGAAATGATGTCAAGTCATGCCACATGTTAGTGTCCTGAGTAAACACAATTCAACATCATCTCGCTGATATGCTTTTTTACATCACCAAGCAGCTGTCTTCTCAGACTTGAGGTGGGCTTGCAAGCTTTTAAGAAGGTCTGCGAGTGTAAAACAGACCCAGGCTAAGTAGTGACACTCTTGTCCCCGTTACCTTCCACTTGAATCATCTTCTGTTTTGCAGACATGCCTGAGGACTTCACACATGCACTTCGTAGTGTCGATTCGGAATTTTCTGGATCTGACTCATGTTCAGACCGCTCCGACTCTGAGGATGACACTTCTGATCTCGAGGAGCTTCAAGAATGGCGTCGAATCATGCACGAACCACCTCCAGACGCTAGTGCTCCCCAACTACACATTGCACATCACTTTCTTTTCATGTTCATTTAGTATTCTTACACTACAGTGACAGGCACTTGGCGCTACTCAGTTGGCGTACTCAAAACTTCACATTGAGATGAAGAAGCTATGAACTGACTACAACAGTCTACTCTCCACTCTCCCACAGAACCACAAGAGAGCTGTGGAGAATAACCCGAACACGATGTTGGACAATAACATCACTGCCCAAGCAAAAAAGTATTGTTTCTTCTACCATTTCTGGGTCCCAAAGGATGTTTTCCTGCTCATGATTCCACTGCCTGGATATGATCTGAACGACCCCGCTCGTTGGAGTATGCCTGAATCAAGAATTATTGGCCTTAAGGTGGAACTCTATTCCATGCTACCTAGTGACCTCAAGGCCCATGCAACAACTTATAGCAACTTTGGCCATGTGGTAAGTGAACGTTTACATCCCACAATTTGAATGCTAATGTTTATTGTTTCTAGTTTTCAAATGTGGTTGGGGCTGAAAGACCCAACATCCTCAAGCCCGTCAAGGATAACATGCAGGAACTCTTTGCGCACTTGGGCCTTAGTGCCGATTTATTCACAGCTGAGAATTCAAGGATTCTACGAGGGTCAAATGAGGATGTGAAAGCATTGCTGAAGATGCACCCAGGGAGTGTTGGTACTTGCTACACCCCTCTCTCCCCGATCCTCTTCCCCAAACCAGATGCTCCAGTGGCTAGGGACTTATTCAAATCCAAACTCCTAGTCAATGTAAGTTTTCTTCGCTACTCACAATTATACCTACATTAATTACTTCTGCAAGATCATCCGTGTCATGGTGTTTGGCAAGGGCATCCTCACAGGCAAGCAAAGAGGTGGTCCACAGGGATGAGGTCAGAAACTGGGCATATCTGGCGCTTTGGCTGGTCTGATCGCCATCACTGCAACCTTTGTAAGTCTCGTGTCTCTACGTTCTTCTGGCCTGAATATTCTAACAGCCTTGGTATAACAGGCGTGGTACTTACTATCGAGTGACCATGAGCTTACTACCATTGGGGAAGAAAGCAGACTCAAGTATCAGGACGACTTTGAGTATTTCATCAAACTATTAAGTGACCCATCAAAATGAGAGTGGTCATTGGAAGTGATGGAATGCATCAATCAAGGCATGTGGAACACTTCTAGTTGTGCCTCTACTAATACTGCACTGGATTCATCCAACATCGATGTCTCTGTAGCTCCTACATGGGAGTCCAACATCTTAGCACAATTGAACGGCCCCCAGTGGCCAACACCCCCTTCCCACATGCCCATTCCTGACTCAAGCTTCGACCCCAACCCTGCCTCTGCTTCACGTCACATGTCAGAAGCAACCCAGGATTCTTCAGTTGTCATCTCTCAGACAAACTCCGTCTCCTCAGCGCTTTCAGTCGATGTCATGAATCTTTCACTTGGAGGTAGTCAAACATCCATTCTACCATCCATGTCTGCTCATGGAAGGGAGTTTTCTGTCCAGGGATGACAACCTAGGATGGTTGAGGTCCCAGGGGCTGTGGTTGGAGCTATGCAGAACCCGCTGGCAGTGATCACCCAGGAGCCGCCTACTAAGGAACGTTGTATCACCCGACGTAAGGTAAAGGGTAAGTAGTTGTATTGCCACAGTCAGCCATGTGAGCATGCAAATTTCGAGCTTTCTGGCTATGAACCCCTACTTTATGTGCTGTATGCGCTACCACGCCTTTGCAAATACAGTTGTCCTTTTCTTTGATTCCTTTGAAATGATGTGATGATGTTCAACCAACATATATCAGGTTTTGGAACATCGAGTTCGAATGGCCCTGTCTCCCTCTCATCGCAACTGCCCTCACCGAAGAAATACCACCCCATGTTGTGGGTGTTCGTACCGTTGTCTGCGTCTTTATCAAATCCCAGTCATGCCGGTGACATCTCTGGCAAAGAAGTGGCTATTAAGCTCGAGTCCATCAAAGCAAAGCACCCACAGTTGGTTCATAAATATGTGTTTCATTTTTCTCTCATCTAATTCACGTCTCCAGACTTCTCATTCTCTCTCTCAATTTCATCCATTGCGACACAAAGCTGCACAATCCCCTGATGGGGATCAGGAAACGAGCAACCAAGTCAGCACCACCAACCTCAGTTTTGCAAAGGAGTACTGTGACCCCAAGACTCATCTGCATATCCAGTGTATGGGGAACAAGAACCTCACAGGAACCGCCTATTGTACCTCAATAATAACACTCACTTTATGGTTGAACAGGCCTGCCATGATGACTTGGGGTCCCTTGCTTACATCCTCATGTATTTCCTCTGTGCACACTTCCCCAACGAGGTGTTAAGCCTGCCACAAGGAAGCAGGAGTATGAGAATCGTATGGTGGAGGAAAAGGTGACTACTTCCACAGACTTGCTGTGCTGCAGCTTCTCAAATGATTGTGACGTATTCTTAGATTACACTCAAGCACTTCGGTTTGACAACAAACCTGACTACTCCTACCTCCACAAGCTCTTCTGCAACCTCTTCGTTCACAAGGGTTTCCAGTACGACTTCATCTTTGGCTGGAGCGTTCAGCATGGTGTTCCAAAGGACAGTAGTGCCAGAATGAGTCAGAAGGTGAGCGCTGGCAGAAGATAGGTGGTCCAAGAGGAAGAAGACCACCATGCCAGTGACAGGATGTAGGTGCTGCACCCATTCCCACTCCTTTATTGTCTGACTCTCTATATCATTGTTGGGCTTCGTTTGCAGACCTGTTAGCTGCAAGCCAATGCTACTTGCACTGTACACCAACAACATGGTGCAACTCATGGAAGGGAAGGTGATATTTGGTAAAGGACATGTTCATGCTTTTCTGATTTGTGCTGGGTGCAACTGGGATTGGGGGTGGAGGGAAGTGGTAAGGTTACTCGGTCATGATTGGTCAAAGTTTGCAGTTGGGATGGTGCACCCGGTGGGTCGTTCTGCAGTGGAATTGGGGTCATTTAGGGCACTTCCCAGGCTTGCGATTGGCCCAAGGCAAGCCTTGTCAAACCTACCATTCTGTTCAATGTCTGCTCTTGATTCATCTGTTCCATGGTACAACGGGATTGCCATCGTATCTGGTGTAAGTCAAAGTGTGGTTCAGTGGTGAAAACCAACCAAAACCAACACAAAAGACAATGAAAGCAAGTGGTGGTGTGCCTACACGGTACCTAGATGGTAGAACCTGTTCTTTGGGAGGGTTTTTGCGAGCTACAACACTCAAAGATGAGTGCTGAGGGTTGGGGGTGCTCCTGACAAAGAGGGAGCAAGAATGTGATAGAAAGTGATAGGGTAGACTGCTGTCAGCCTACAGAAGGATGGATGGTGACTTAATTCGATGTCCTAAGCTGTACTGAGCTCAGGGAGGGCTTGGAGCGAAGTATATGGATGATAGATGATGATAAGTGAAGTAGATGATAGCTAGACCCTTAATAAAGTCTCAACTATCGAAGCTGATGAATGATTTACTGAGAGATGATAAATTGCAAGCAAGAGGGGCTCTCTGATGTCTTTTTTTTTTTGCTACCTAAGTACAGTGACTTATATACAGTACAGGGGTGTTGCCTATGGAAAACAAGGTGCAAACACTTGGTAAGTGATTGGTAACTGATGAGTAAGGAATGTAAGCAATGGGTAATCATCTTGGAAAGCATTGGTAAGCATTGGTAAGGATAAGTAAGCCAAAAAGCGAAGAATCAGTAAGCAAAGTCAAAAGATTGGTAAGTATTGGCAATAGGTGAGTCAAAGACAGTCAGAATGTCAAAGTATGAGTCAAGCAATGTCAGGAACCAAGAAAGCGCACTGGAATCACATTAGGGGGAGGCTGTGCATGCCACATCTCAAAGAGATCACTTCTAGGCCAAAGTGGGATGACAGAGAGGCAGTGCTGATCTGATGCCGATATAGTACATCCAAAAGCAGACAGGGTGAGTCAGATGTCAACAGGGGTCAAGCTTTGGGGGTCTGTGGGGTGACAGGAGCATAGGGGATCACAACTTTCCCCCCCAAACCATCCTCTCAGTGAAGCAAATAAAAACTTCATGAATGAGGCTCTGTTGGAAGAGAGGATGAAGGGGGAGCATCTTCTGCTGTATCTTGCAACAAGGAGGCAAGATGTGCATCATACTCATCATGGATGCAATCAGGGAGAGTGGAGAACAGTAGATTATACTGTAGCTGTCACAATTTTGGAAGAATGACAGACGAGACTGGTATGAAGACATTGCAGGGGGCAGGGAGGAAGGATCCATATGCTTCTTGGACTGGAGAGACTGAAACAACCACATAAGACCTTTCCAAGCGAATGACAGACCTGAGGCGACCAAAGAATGTCCTCCTAGAGGTCATACTGACAAAAAGAACATGCTGTCCAAGCTGGATGGGCTGAGAGGGGGCAGATGAGGGTGGGATGTACCAGGATGCTTCAGGACAGAAGCTGGTAGGAACTCCTGGTAGATATATGTAGCCATGGTCCCTAGCAAAGGGGACAAGCGAAATGACTGATGTGGAGGCAGCCATATCAGAAGAATTAGTGAAATGAGTGTCTTTTGGAGGGAGTGCTGTAGAAATGTGTGGAGTGTGCAAATCCTTTCCAATCTTGGAGGGTAGGATCGTGTGGCTGAGCACTACAAGCGAGTGTGGGAATGGTTTCGGTGTCTGCAGAATTGGTGGAGATACGTTGAAAACCGGAATGCCATACACGGGCGCTTAAGAATTTTATTGGTGCTTAACTTGCCTCCTCCTTTTTCTTTGGCATCGACAACTTGTTCTTGTGTGAGGGATGACTGCCGACATTGCTGGCTGTCCTTCTTCGCATGAGGGCTATGGTCTTCACCTCCATTCATCAGCTACATCCATGTCCACCTCACCAAACACCTTTGGTGTGTGACACTGGATTGATCATTTTGTATAGCACAGACACTCTTTTCTTCCAAGCTATCCTGATCTCCCTCTGGGGAGTGAAATTCCATTCTCACTTTTCCAGACTCTCCCCCTTCAGTGCTGTCCTCATACAACATATACTACTACATTTGCTTCTTCATGTCCCTTCCATGACTGTATATGCTCTTTTTTTCCTGCTCCTGTTTTCCTTTGTGTGGTTGATCAATGTAGTACTTGCACAGACATGCTGTGTCACGGCTTCCCGAATGAATCCAGCATATTCCTCCATTATGTTTGGGCACTCCACTGGTTTGATGACAACCCTGACTACTCCCACCCCCACAGGTTCCAATTCTACAACCCTTCGTTCATGGGGGTTTCCAGTACAACTATACCTTCGACTGGAATACACTCGAGCACTTTGGTTCGACAATAAACCTGACTACTCCTACCTACACAGGCTCTTTCAAGACCTCTTCCTTCATGAGGGTTTTCAGTGTGACCATGTCTTCAACTAGGGCATTTAGCATGGTATTTCCACAGGCTTGCTGTACCACAGCTCCCTGAGTGAATTCGGCATTCTCCTCAACTATGCTCAAGCACTTCAATTTGACGACAAGCCCGACTACTCCTACCTTCGCAAGCTCTTCTGCAAGGGTTTCCAGTACGACTACGACTTCGACCAGAGCATTCAGCATGGTGGTCCTGAGGACAGTAGTGCCAGAGCAATTCAGAAGGCAAGTGCTAGCAAAAGAAAGGTAGTTTGAACAGCACCTATTGGCATCCGAAGACTTGCCCACAAAAATCTTCCTCGTATTATGTTTTTTTGCCAGGTTATTCTTGGATGGCGCATGTACCCACCTGGCCTTCGAATATGGAGGTGTTCACTTTTGCCCCACCAGCTCTTTGGTGAAGGATTTCCTGCTCCCCATATTTGTTTTGTTCATAGAGCCCAGTTTCCATTATGGTCTGTTTCAATTCTGGTGGTACAAACGCATTGTATACAACATTGTTGATATTTTTCCCTCCCCAGTCGTGCAGGGTATGAATTCATATCTACATTACTCCCTTCTACATTTCCAAGATGGCAATCGTGAACAGTATTCCAATTAATACCTGCAGCATTAAATTAAAACAGTAATACGGTTGTCATTATCTCTACATACTTCGTGTAATGCTCTCTTGTTTGGCACATGTACAATATGAAGAAACAGTCACTGAATAAATTTTGTGATGGACTCGAGCAATTCAATATCTCGAATCTCAATGTCCAGAGAGGGATTACCATTTTGGGGCAATTATATAAGCTTCCAGCTATAATACGTGTGAGGTCGGAACTTGAAACATGTTTTTTCATTCAACTACCACTGTTATTACATGTCAATGGCCAGCCACACACCCCAGTCTGCCGCCGCCCCCGACAGCAAAGACACAGGCGACCCAAACCAACCAATGGATGCACCCACCCAGCACTGCAACTAATTTTACCACTTGATTTCAGGACAAGCATTTACTGTCTCGTCACTTTACATCGTGTTGCCTGCTCCTTAGGTCAGTTGTTCCTAGCTTCCCATCCCAATTTAATACCATCTCACTGCCAGTCATGCAGCAACACCCTGGACTAGACACCATCCCCAGTTGCCAACCTAGTCCGAGTTACAGAGTCTTCAATGTTACTCCCTCCGATTCCCAACTATGTTGTATGTCCCCCTGCTCTCTGACCATTGACCATGCTGGGTACCTGGGGAGTCGCTATCCCATCCCTGCCACTACTGTTTTCATTACCCCATTTCCCTCTGTCCAACGGCATCGGTACATGGGCCTATCCAATCAGCACACATGTCGTCATTCCGCCTGTACACAGCCTCTCAGATCTGTGCTATGAATCCCCTTCTCCCCGGTTGCCAATCTAGGCCGAGTTACGCAGTCTGGTGTCACTCCCTCCGATTCCCAAGTATGTTGTATGTCCCCCTGCACTTGTTATCACTGCTCTCTGACCGTTGACTGTGCAGGGTACCTGTGGAGTCACTATCCCCATTCCCTCCCACTGTCGCTTTCCGTTACCCCATTTCCCTCTGTCCACTGGCATCGGTACATGGGCCTATCCAAGCAGTACACTCATTGTCATTCCGCCCTGTACACAGCCCTTCGGACCTGTGCTATGAATCCCCTTCTCCAGTTGCCAACTTAGCCCAAGTTATGCAGTCTGGTGTCACTTCCTCTGATCCCCAAGTATGTTGTATGTCCCCATACACTTGTTGTTATCCCTGCTTTCTGACTGTTGACCATGCAGACTACCTGTGGAGTCGAGACAATCCCCATCCTCCCACTACTGCTTTCTGCTACCCCATTTACCCTCTGTCCAATGGCATTGGTACATAGGCCTGTCTGACCAGCACAGCCATCATTCTGCGCTGTATGCAACTGACCTACTCCGCATAATACTAACCTCGATATTCTATGAGTGGGCTGGTAAAGATTAGCAGTACAGACAAGACCTCAGTGATGGATTACAGTAATATTAGCAATATTGCAATAGGGATTAGGGTTACAATGAAAATAATAGTACTGCAATGCAGATTATGTCGTCTTACAGTGAAAATGACGGTATTGCAATACAGCCTTACACATTACAATGGTGAAAATAGTTTGCAATGGTAGTACAATACAGCCTTACACATTACAATGGTGAAAATAGTTTGCAATGGTAGTACAATAACATTGCAACTACGGCTGCCTAGCAAGTCATTGTCAGGCACTTCAGTCAGCAGGCAATGGTTAACAATAGCATCGCAATCACATGTTCCCAGCACAGAGCGGCCAGCCATTGTCAGGCATTCCAATCGGCAACCCCCGGATTACACTGCCATGCCAATGAAAACTTTACCCATTGGCGGGGCACTAACATATGTCATCCATTGTAATTACATACAGTCACATGTAATGGCCATGATTTTTTTCTGACAGACATGACACACGTGACTGCAAGAAGCCGAAAAGGGGCGACCCCTGATGCAGGCATAACACCTTTGGAATTCTTCCCACTCATGGCCTCATGTTTCATCCCACCCCCCTTTAGCTTCAGAGTTTTTCCCAACCTCCAACATGTCCCTTGGCCATCAATAAGCTGATCCAAAAAATTCCATATTCACCCAGAGACATCAATAAGCTGATCTGGAATTCTGCATCCAAGCCACTGCCCAGCCACATCACCAGTAATCCATGCCAATCACCTCTAAAAACTCCAGTTCCCCCTGTCACCCAAAATTCCACAAATCATCCTTTGTACCCATGGGCTCTTCCCTTCTGCTGTTCTGCCCTTCCTGCCAGCTCTGCCTCTCACCTGTACACATACCCTTGTTCTGTTGGAAGATACCCCCCCTTGCCCTTGTTCCTTTTACTCTCATTTACCACTCTCCAGACTGTTTCACATGCATTTGTACTTCACTGACATCTGTCATCCTTTCCTTTGTTTTCCAGCCTTTTAGTTTTTCTGCCCCACTTTACTCCAATTCATACCCACATCCCATGTACTATATAATTCTGCTGTAGTGTCAGAAAAATACTGACCCACTTTTCAGAGTCACTATCTGTGTGTGCTTTGCAAGTTCAAGAGTCCTCAGAGTCTAAAAGCATCCATTGAGTCTACAGTGTCTACAGTGTCTTCAGTGTTCTCCATGCCTCCTGCATTCTCCAGTCTATCACACCTTTTCTTGTGTCTCCCTCACCTCAGAAACACTCTTCTTACTGTGTAACTGCCTCTTGGAACTCCATATACCCAACTCACTGTTGCTTGCATGTCAACAATCCTTCAGAATTAAATTCTGCAAACCTCACACATATACCCCATCCCTTCTAGTGTAATCCTCAACTTCTCCTTCCACTCAGCACCCCTTGGGACAATCCTAGGGAATTGCCTCTACAGTCTGCCTCTAGTTGCATGCTTCCCAGAATCATGTCCCACACTGGCCTCATCCACACCATTTGATGGCACAGCCTGAAGGGTGGTGGCACTGTATGTTTTCCTTCATCTGATGGCCAGCTTAACCAATTTCCATTTTAGCCCATACTGTTGAACAGCATCTACAATGCATGGGAGATCCTGAGAAGCAAAAGTTCAATGTGAAAGTTGGATATATCCTACCTCAAGAAGCAGGCACTTGTCCTAGTGGAAACACATCTTCAATGATACTGTCAAAAAGATGAAAATGGGTGCTAGACTATTGCTAGGGCACAGTTTGAACTCCAGGCAATCTATCTGCTACAAGAGCCCTGCATGCCCAAAGTGCAATGATACCAGCATAGAAATTGCCAGACTGTCAAGTCTGGGCCTACTCCAACCAACTCCAACATGAAACAGGGTCTGGGGAGAGGTGTGGAAGCAAGTCCAACACAGTCAAATGGAACTCTGACTAGCAGAGGATCAGCAAGAACAAGGTCTGCCAAGGCAGAAGCAGAATGGAGTGAGGGCATCAGGTTTAGCTCATGCACTATGTCATAACTGTGCATTCAATCTAAGTCCTTACTCACTCCACACCCTCTTCCACCAGTCATTCACTCACTCTGCACCAACTCCACCCAACTTCTGTCAGTTGCAAACCATCTCCACTCCAACAGCTGTTGGACTTGTGTTGCTCTCCTACCAGACCAAACAGACCATTCTCTGAGGGGTCATGTGACTACCTTCAGACTCCTCCCTGACAGTGCACAGTCAGGTATTCTGCAGTGTGTGCACTGCATGGTCCAGCACCTGGACTGTTTCCTTTTCTGGATGTTCTATGTTACCTGTTTGTGTGTCCTCCATCTACCCTTCATTCATTGTCTAGGAAGTTTTACTTGAAAATTTCTGGGTCTCTGTATGTCAGTTCTGATTCTGATTACTGTACCTCTGTAGTAGTATAAAAGCATGTACTGTACTCTGCTGTTCCTCAGTATGAATATCAACTTAATTCCTACTCCCTCTGTCTCCATCTTCTGTCTGTCAGAGTTACCTCTGTCTTTCTGTCTGTACTCTCCCTCTGAAATATGAGGGCTGAGAGCATGCAAGGGGGTAGCACATGAGCTAAACCCAATGCCCTCACTCTGCTCTGCCTTTATCTCAGTGGACTTCATTCCTGCCAACACTTTGCCAGTCAGAGTTCAGTTCTTTCTGTCAGACTTGCTTCCAAACCTCTCCCCAGCCCTTGCTTAGTGTCAGAGTTGGTCAGAGCAGGCCTGGACTTGACAGTATATTCATACTCACACTTGTACAATCTCACTTTTTGTCTCCCAAAAAACTTACACCATTATGAGAACTCAAGCTCAATCCCAGAGAGAGGTCACTGAGAACCTTGCTGTTGTGCTAGCTAATCTGCATTGACTCCCTTCCATCATTGAACAGTTCTAATCATTCTCCACTTGATGCTGCTCTCATGCTGAAGGCAAAAGTGCTTTGCAGGCTGGTTGCTCTGACCTCCACCTGACCACTTTCCATACTCCATCTCCTCATAACCAAGATGATGGACCCAACCCTGACCCTGGTGACCCTGATGGTGATCCCAGCAGTGGGGGCAGTGGTGACAGGGATATCCCTGAAGACCTGGCTGAGCTGCCAGAGGATCCCCTCATAGCTCTTGCTAGAGCTGTCCATGCACTTGGATGGTCTAGTTTGCACACTGGGGACTGTGCTCCAAAAACCAAAGTCCATGAGCCTGACACCTTTGACAGCTCCAACCCTAGGAAACTCCATGAGTTCCTCATACAATGCAAGCTGAACTTCCAGGACTGCCCCTGCACATTCTGCTCTGACAGAGCAAAGGTTATGTTCACTCAGTCTTATCTTAAGGGTATGGCTCTGGCTTGGTTTGAGCCAGACCTACTAAACCCTGACAATTATGACTGCCCACTCTGGATGGACAACTATCATGAGTTCTTACAAGAGCTCACAACTAATTTTGGTCTGCATGATACCATAGTGGATGCCA